CCTCAGTCACTTGACTGCCAGGCTTCACCTCTGTGCAGAGGGAGGGGAAGTTCAGGGTTTTGAGAACAGAACTGTTAACCATTTTCCGCTTGTGTCTTTTTGTCCTTTTTTCCAGGCACGCGCCAGATGCATCCACACAGAAAACGAACCATGTTCACTGAGAAGCAGCTGAAAGCTTTGAACGTCTTGTTCAATGAGAACCCATATCCAAACCCCAGCCTTCAGAGAGAGATGGCCTCAAAAATCGACGTACATCCAACAGTACTGCAGGTGGGAAAATCATGCCCCATCTTGCTAAGCCACCTCCCCGGACCCCCTAGCATAATTCCTGAGATTTGATACCACCCCAATCCCCGATGCTCCAAAGACCCAGACTCTCCTGTCCATACCCCCATAATCTCTTCTACCAACCCCTAGAGCAAAGATGAGTAAATTTTTTCAGTAAAGGACCACAGAGTAAATATCGTAGGCTTTGTGGGTCAAGCTGTCCCTCCAACTCTTCCGCTCTGCCATCACAGTGCAAAAGCAGCCACAGATCATATGTAAACAGATGGGGTCTATCTTTGCTCCCATAAAATTTTCTGGACACAGATTTGAAGTTCATAAAATTTCCACCATCACAAAATAGTATTCTTATTGTGTTTGATTTTTTTTTTGCAACCATTTAATAATCTCAGAGGCCTGTACAGAAACAGATGGGTCAGACTGGGCCTAGGAACCCTCATTTCCTGACCTCAGCCCTAGAGCCTCCCCTGGGACTGACCCCTTTGCCCTCCAGTCCCCTGCTCTGGGATTTCTGGTCGCTGCCTCAGTTTCTGTCCCCACAATCTCTCACTTCTGCTCCTTCCTGAGATTCGGTTGGGAGAGAGTCCCACGAATTGGATGTAAATGGCCAAGGTGTGGAGCTAGCTCTTCCCACCGAGAAGCACCCGTCTTCTTGAGCAGAATGAAAACTATCCCGGAATCTCACCCCACTCATCAACCCGTATCCTTCCCCTCTTCTCGCTGCAGGTTTGGTTCAAGAACCATAGAGCAAAACTGAAGAAAGCAAAATGCAAGAATGTTCAGCAAAAACAAGGAGCTCAAGAGCGACAGACACCTGAGGGCGGAGTCAAGGCCAGTCCCAGCCAGAGAAATACGGAAATACAGCCCAGATCCGCGACCGCCGCCTACCCTGCGGCCCTCATTTACACGGGGCTCCAGGCACCCTCGTACCAACTCAGCCTGTACCCCACCATCAGGGTCCCTACAGATGTCTTCTTTGGCCACAGAATAGTCCATTTTGGCTGCTGCCAAGACCCTAACATTTACTCCCTCTATCCTATTGTGGAGTCCCAGGTTGGTTCTCCACGCTTCGGTCCTCACGTTTTTGGCTGTTCACTTCTACAAAGCAGGGACAGACACGAGCCCTAAAAGGCCACGTGTAACGATTCCTATTCAGGAGACCACAGAGGTAGACCATAGAGGCACAAACCAAATGTATCGGGGTGATGGAAATGTTTCATGCCTTAATTAGGGCGGGAGTTACCTGGGGGAGTAAATTCGTCATAACACTCAGAACTGTACATCTAAAACCTCTGCGTTTTATCTTATATAATTAAACCTCAATAAAAACTATACAGTGAGAATAGTAAGAACAGGTTTGGTTTTTTTCCCTGCTTCATTTGTTTTGATTTTTAGTTTGCTCAGCTAATGAGATTTAGTCAGTGTCAACAAATGGGCTTATTTTTCTTCCGTCGTCGTCTCCTTGGCCATCGTTTTATGTGCCCTGGGTTACCTGAATGAGTGACCTCATCAAGCTACCTTCATTCGTTTTGGCTTCTGCTTAATATGTTCTTCAAGTAACAACCAGGATAACTCCATTATTACTTTAGAAATTTTGCATCATCCCTCTGCTTAAAATCCTTCCAAGGCCAGGTGCAGTGGCCCACAGCTGTAGCCCCAGCTCCTCGGGAGGTTGAGTCAGGGGGTCCGTTTTTTTTTTTTTTTTTTTTTCCGCAGACAGAGTCTCACTCTGTTGCCCGGGCTAGAGTGCCGTGGCGTCAGCCTAGCTCACAGCAACCTCAGACTCCTGGGTTCAAGCGATCCTCCTGCCTCAGCCTCCCGAGTAGCTGGAACTACAGGTGCTTACCACCACACTGGGCTCAAAATATATTTTTGGAAGAAAAAGAAAGGGAGAGGAAAGGGTAGGAAGAGAGAGAGAGAAAGGGAGAAGGAGACAGAGGCCGAGATTGACTCAAAGAATGGCTTCCCTTGGCCTTAGGAGAAGGGCTTTAGTTACATCAAATCCAGTCTCCTCCCTCTCACCACCTTCTAGCCCGGCAGTTCCCAAACTCGATAAGGAAGATCAGATCACCTGGGCAGCTGTTAAAACCTGGTTCTCAGACTGAAGGAGTGGTTCCCAGGAGGGGGCGCCATTTTACCCTGGGGCTGTATTTAACAAAGGTCCGTGCCCAGGAGGCACAACCAAAACCTGGATTCCCCTCACACTTCTCAGAGAAGGTAAAAAGGAGCTACTCCCAGAGGAAGTTCTCAGGGTGAGCCGGAGGGAGGAGGTTAAGGGTGTGGCGGAGGCCGAGAGCTAGATCCAGCTCTGCTGGGTGAGTCCGTGTGACCCAGAGTCTGAGGGGGCTTGGTGCTGGGCGTGGGTTCCAGCCCGGAGGGTGGGAACACCCGGAGAACCCAAAGCCGGGCTTGCGTCCTGCCTCGTCCCCCAGTGAGCTGGTGACTGAAGCCCACCCCCCATCCCCTTCTCCCACGCTGGGCCTTGATTTCCTCACCTTGTGGGTGGGGACAGTGCTCTGCCGTGTGTGTTCTTGTAAAATGAGCCCTCTCTTAGGGCATCCACATCTCCCCAGAAGGAATCATTTTGTCTTGTCACCGTTGATTAGTTTTGCCTGTTGTTGAACTTCAGAGAAACCGAATCGTAGCGTGTGAACTCTTTTCATTGGCTTCTTTCATTGACCATTTCATTAGTGAAATTCACGCATGTTAAAGTGAGTACAATAGGAAGCATTTTTAAAAGGACTTGGACTAACCCAATAGAAGGTGATAGTCACATTTCTGTGATGATCTCAAAGTACCTTCTTAAAGATGGTCGCTTAAACCAACACCTGAGTAAGATCATCTCATCAGGGCTCACAAAGGCGAGTTAGCCAATTCCATCACTCCTCCCACAACTGCTAGATATCTTTGCTTGTAAGAACTTTTCCTCATCAACTATCACAACAGAATGGGGAAAATTGAAGAGGAAATAGAATTCATAGAAGAAATATAAGATAAAAACTTAATTCTTCTCTTTGCAGCCTTGTTTATTCCAGTGGTGACTGAGGAGTTCATTTACTTTTTAAAGTATTTGGAATACTGGGACTTTCATTTTTCAAAGAGTATAGAATCCTTATTGTCTGAGATCTCACCATGGAACACAGGCTGCACGTGATCAGGGTCCTTGTGTTTCTTCCCCATCTTATCTCTAGTTCCCTGGACCAGCGTGGATTACAAAGTAGGTTTTCAAAAAGTATTTTTCGGCCAGGCACGGTGGCTCATGCCTGTAATCCTAGCACTCTGGGAGGCCGAGGCGGGAGGATCGCTCAAGGTCAGGAGTTCAAGACCAGCCTGAGCAAGAGCGAGACCCCCGTCTCTACTAAAAATAGAAAGAAAATTAGCTGGACAACTAAAAAT